TATTCCAGCGTTATTCGAGCGAGGGAGTAAACCACATTTGCCTCAGATCCTCGGGGAAGATGTCATCATGGCCCCAGGGGGCGCCTAATTGATAGTGCCCTGCATAAGTGCTGAAAAATGGGGTTTGCAAATCCTGGGAAATCTAAAGGCCCAAGGATTCCCACCATCTGACTTACAGCAGCCAGATTTTTCCCCTACTCCCAAACCCCAGCCCACCGAGTTAAAGGGGCGGAGAGAGGCGAAGGAAGTCTCCAAAGAACCAAGGAGAGAAAATCCTGAAAAGATTTAAAGATTGTCACGCCTGAGGCCAAACTTGAAAATCGCCTCCCCCAAATTCTCAAGACTCCGCAGGGTCCCGGCTGCGGGTAGCGCGGCCACAGAAAGGAAATATTTTCCCAGTACCATCCCCTTCAGAAAGCTGTCGACTATACACCCAACTAAAATGGCAGCGGCGACTACGCCACGGAGCCCCCCGCAGCAACCAGCGCCTGGGGTCCGGAAGCGGCGCCGAGCCTCCTCCACCACAGGCCACTCAGGCCATTTCGAGAAAAAGCGGCAGCCACAACTCCGCTGTCTTCCTCTCGCTCTCCATCCATTTCTCAGAGGACCCCCAAAGCTTCACTTACTCGGTTTTAGTTGTCGGAATCCGAGTCGGTCGGTAAGGCCGCCGCCGCCGAGGCTCCTGCGCGCCTCTCTTGTCGCCGCTCTCAGGCCCGCCTCCGATGAGTCGCTGGTTGAGACCCGCCTCTAGCCCAGCGCCCGCTCGGGAAACGTTGCTCAGGCAGCCATTATCTCCCCCATTGTTACCAAGCAGCGACAGGAAACGACTGCCCACAACAGGAAGTGATGATGCCTTGTCTGGGGACGCAAACCCCCCCTCCCCAGCCTATTAGCCAATCCCAGGCGATTCCTCGAAAAGGCTTGGCGGGAGGAGGAGGGAGGACAGCGGACGACGCCGACGCGGGCGGCGAGGCGGGCTGCGATCTGGAAAAGGAAAGCTGCTTGTGACGCCCACTGTGTGACAAGCCCCACCTTCCTCCGCCATTTTGAATTGTGGCGAGAAATTCGCGTTCTGAGAATTGTGGGAACCTTTGCTTTCCCATTTTGAAAACTGAAGCACGTCACCTTCTGATGGCTCGAAGCCGTTTTTTCAGAGAGCTAAAAATGTGATATTAGTTTAACTTGAGGTCGCTTCACACAATCCAGACTAGTTCATCCTACCTTTTATTCAATGTATATATTTATTAAGCGCCAACTGTATGTTAAGCACTGTTGTACATGTTGGGGATACGGCGGAAATAAAAACAGACCAAAATACGAGTTCTCATAGAGAGAGAGAGAGAATAAAAGTGAGAGAAAGTGCGACGAATTGCAATTTCAAAAAAAGAGTGGTCAGAGATGGGCTCTCAGATGGTAACTCCCTGAAATACTTGAAAAGGGGCGGTGATTGTAAAAGGGTGGGAAAATCTGATAACGTTGGAATTTGTAAAGGGCAGTTAAGGAAGATCTCCTTAGGAGGTAATGCCTACAGGAAATTCCGGAATAAGTCACACAAAATCTAACTCCCAGTTTCACAGTTAAAGAAAAACAACGTTACCCAAGTTCTCAGTGTGTTTCCGTGTTTCTTTTCCCATTTTCTGTTTTTTTTTTTTTTTCGAGTAACACTCCAGCTATATTGGTCCTATGCTGTAATTTAGGGAGTCTAAAGTTCGTAACCATTAGTCTATGCTATTGACAGAAAAATGTTCAAGAATTAGAAATTTTAGAAGCTGTTTATTTTTAAAACAAGCCTCTTCTCAATTGTCGTTTTCCCAGAGAAGACGTCCCTAACCACCCAATTTAACATATCAATTTCTCCATCTCCTTACCTGCTTAATTTTCTTTAAAGTACTTAATCTTAAAATGTATTATTTGTGTACCTCAACCCTTAAGAGCAGTGAACCTCTTTTTTTTGTTGTTGTTCACTGTCACATCCCCAGTCAGCTCATAGTGGTCTCTCAAATATTTTTTGAGAGAACGCTTCCTCAGCATGAAGGCCATTTTATCAGCCTGGAATATAAGTATTTTACTCCAAGCAGTTCCCCAATATCCCTCATAAGCTCCTCCTCAACTCGCTTTCCAGCAGGCTTGATCTTGTCATTTTTGACAGTATGTGAATATGATTTAAGTGCTGTGTTTCTACTCAGTTTTTGTCTTGTATTACATAATCACATACTAGAACTTTTACCTAGAACATATAAAAGGAATTCTTCAGTATCCTGTAATGTTATTAAGCCTGCTATTGAGCTTATGGTAATAACATTACCAACTCCTTAACACATTCTTAATGCAAACGTGGCTTAACATAAAATATAAAATCATAAAAGAAGTAGAAGAAAATATAAGCGAATATGTGTATACCCTTGAGGATATAGAACTTTCTAAATATGACACAAAGTCCAAAAGTGAAAATACTATTAAATATGACTTCATAAATAAAAGTAAAGCTTCTGAATGACAAAATGTAAGGTTAGTAAAGTTAAGAGACAAATAGCAAACTGAAAAAAACATTTCAACATGACAGATGACAGCTATGGGGTAATACTGGTTTATGATAAAATTAAAAGACAACATAATTGACAAAATGCTAAATTTATGATAAACATATCTGGCTAATATCACTAGTCCCTAAAGAGCTATTATAAACTGATTTAAAAAAATAAATACCACAATTTAAAAATCTGAGAAGGGCATGGATAGGCAATTTAAATGTTCAACCTCACTAGTAATCAGAAATAAAAATTAACATGGGATTTCTTTTTGCCCCTCAGAATATCAAAGAATAAAATTCCGATAATATTGTTGATGAAAAGCCTATGAAATGGCTTGTTTGCTGCTGTTACAAATTGATATACTATTTTTGAGGCAATTTGTCAATATGTGTCAAAAGCCTCACATATCCATACTGTTTGACCAACAAGACACATACAGAAATGTATTTTAAGGAAAACAAGTGGACAAAGATGTATGTAATGTTAATCATTGAAATATCAGTCCTAGCCGGTTTGGCTCTGTGGTTAAAGCATCAGTCCTCGGACTGAAGGGTCCCAAATTGGATTCTGGTCAAGGACATGTACCTCGTTGCAGGCTCAATCCCTGGCCCCGGTTGTGGTGCATGCTGGAGGCAACCAATAGATGTGTCTCTCTCTAGCACATGGACTTTTCTCTCTCTCTGTCCCTCCCCATTCCTTCCATTCTCTCTAAAACAGTGGTTCTCAACCTTGGCTGCACATTAGAATCACCTGGGAATCTTTTTAAAATCCTGATTTCTGGGCCTCATCCTCCGGAAATTCTGTTTCTTTGTTATGGGGTGGGGCCACAACATTAGTAACAGAAACAGAATTTCAGGAGGATGAGGCCCAGAAATCAGGATTTTAAAAAGATTCCCAGGTGGTTCTAATGTGCAGCCAAGGTTAAGAACCACTGGTCTAGATGAATATACAGGCAAATAAAATGTGAAGGAATTATTAGGTATTTTAACATTCTTTACCTCTTTCTGTATTGTTTTGAATATTTTACAATGTGCATGCACTACTTGGTATTGGGAAGAGGGGTCATTTTCATTTTCAAAGAAAAGTCTATTTGAATCTGAAAAGAAAAGAGAACATCTCTCCATCCTCTTATTTCTTCAATGTTTCATTCAAGTATACCCTTCTCTCCTTCCATCCTCCCTCTCTTCCTCCTCCCTTCCTCTTTCTTTCTTTCTTTTTTTCTTTCTTTCTTTCATTCTTTCTTTCTTTCTTCCTTTCTTCCCCTTACTTATCTCTTTCATATATTCTTTCATGCTCATTTATAATCAAGGAGCTGCAACTATTTATTCAATTTTGGCATTCAATTCACCTAGAACCCAAGGAAGAAACCACTGAATAATTTTCATTGTTTTCTTGCAGCCTAATTGAATTTCTCACCAATGTGCTTTTTACATATTCGTGATGTTCAAATGATTTTTACCCCTTCCTGGTGAAATGTCCCTTAACAGGATAAAAGTAAAAGAATTTTCCAATCTTCCTTCTATTCATTTATTCAAAAAATGTATTGATCATCTAATATATGCTGGTGACTGGGAATAGATGGGTAGACCACAAACAAGAAGATTCTGCCCTTGTGGCAAGACAGACATTGCTTATAAATGTAATGAACAGTTTCACAAAGGAGATATGTGGATACAATGGGAGGGATATATAAAGGGAACATTTAACTTAGAGAAGTTGCCATTTTTAGCTGAGATCTGAGCTAAAGGAAGACTGATGGTTAGGAAAAAAGGCAGATTAGGGGGGAGCTCTGGGAGTGGGAATAACCTGTACAGTTTTGCTAGGGTGAGAAAATAGAGCCTGAGGAAGTGAAAGAATAGCTTATTTTCTGTAGAAAATCATTCCATTTTATTTTCTTCATAACACTCATCACATTGGAATGTATTTTGTCTATTTTGTAGTTTATGTTATTCATTGATTGTAGTATTTGTTTATAGTCTGTCAGTTCCCACTGGCCCACCCCCAGACTTAAGTTCCTTGGGAACTGAGGCTTTGCCCCCCCCCCATTTACCGCCATATTTTCTGACCCTAAAGTATGTAATAGACAATATATTTTTAAAGAATCAATGAATTAGCTTGTAGTTCACATTAGATATTTTGGATCTTATCCTAAGAACAATGAGAAGTTTTTAAGGAGCTTTTAAAAAGAGATCATTTAAAAATGATTCAATAAAGGTGTTTTAAAAAATCTTTATGCTTGATATGTGCTCGAGACTGCATTTTCTTTATAGTAGATATGCTTACTGTTTTAAGATTCCAAACTTCTTTATCTTTATGAAATGAAACTGGTTTTGTTTCAAAATGACACCTACAATATGTATATTTATTTAGTTTAGAAACTACTCCTAATGTCAAAGTAGCTTTTTAAAATCTTTTGAATAAGTACCACTGGCTCAAATCAATTTAATTGGAAAACAAATGTCTGTCTCTTAGTGCTTCCATTTTTGTCTCAGTTAGATTCTTAGGAGTTCACAATAATATTCAAGATATAAGTGAATCATAAATGTTTTCTTCAGTTTCCCTGAGGAATGGAATAGGAGGATGGGAAAAGACAAGTGAAAGGTAATCAGTAATTCATTTTATTCAGTTAGGTCATTCATTCAACAATATGTATTGTGTGCTATGGCACTGTGGTAGGCCTTGGGGCTGTAGATATAAAAGATGTAGTCTCTGTCCTGAGGAAGTTCACAATCCAGAAAAAGATGTATCCTAGAAGGATGTAGTTCATCTACAGTCATTTTGTAAAGATATGTGGAATCCAAAGCTGATATGTTGGTTCCATTGTAGGGGCCCAGACAACACTTTTAAGGAAGTCACCCACAAGCTTGGATTTATAGAATGTCAGAGGTTTTAAAAATAAGTGAAAGATTAAAGAGCGAAGCACACATATCATAAGAGTAAAGCCCTTCTATTCCTTACCATATTTAGAAGCCTTAAAAAAAACAGCATCATATATTTCCCATAGGCTGGTAGAAAAGATTACAATTGCTTTCATTACTCACACTCCAATGCCATATTTGTATTTGCATTGTTATTGAAAACCTAGTTGCTCTAGAACTCAGTTTATCTCTTTGAAAAATGTATATAGTGGTATCTATTGTTCATCCCACAAATGACCTGTAAGTTAATTAATGTGGTTGTTCTCCAGAAACATATACTCTAGAAACAGGAAGTATTATTGCAAATATTTAAATATAGTAAAATAAAATATGTATTGGTGTCTAGTTAATTAAATGAATAGTAGGGGAACTCAGTGTATTTACTGTCATGCCTTTTTTCTAGCTATTACAGCAACAGTGAAAGGTGTCTCTTTACATTATATGATTTCTGGGAATATAAAAGTAACCTGCCTAACGAAGTAATGTCAAGCACCTTATGTTTCCAAACATGAAGGTTTTAGATGCTCTAGTTATAAAGCATAGGGCAGTTTTCCAACTCATGCCAAACAACTAGAAAGTAATCTTCATGTAACAACTTAACTACTATTGCAGGGAGAAGAGGCTTCTCAATTTAGAGAAGCCTTATCTTATCTCCAATTAGTAATCTATTTTTTTAATTATTTAAACTGTGAAAATAAAATGTTGACTATGCACTGTCTCTGGCATCAAACAACTATGTAATAAGTTTCTCTTTGGAGACAGGATGACTTTGTCTCCATCCTCCTCATTCACCATAAAAACCTCAAACCCATCTGGTCCTACACCCACCTAAACTTTCATTTCTATAGAGGTCAGCTATAAATCCACTTCCATCTCCACCTGCACTGTTTTGCACCCTCTCAACATTTTCTGAGCTCTTTGGACCTTGCATTCTAAGCTAACACACTCCCCTGCTTCCTTAGTCTCTTCATAGAAAGCTCTCTCCTCAGCACTCTGACTGAAAAGTTCTAGCTTCCAAAATACCTCCATTCCCCCAAGACTCACTGAGAAAACAAACAAAAAACCCAAGTGCAGACTTTTTTTCTTCGAAAAGCTTTCATATCTCAAACTCAGACAAGGAGATGGGTGAGGCCTTTAAATAAAGTGCAGATGCCTAGGCCTCATCCTAGGATTCTGATTCAGATGTTTTAAGAACTTAGGAATCTACATTTTAAATAAACTCTCCAGAAGGTTCAGATGCAGGTTATCTGCAGAGAAGTGTTTGAAAGATGGACTTTAGTAAAAACAATAATAGTTACCCTTCTATGTGTCCCTACTATGTGCCAAGAACATTATGTACATTGTGTCATTTAACTCTCATTAAAAAAACATTGGAAAATGTTATGAGCATTTTATAGTTGAGGAAAATAAAACTCAAAGCAGCAAAACCAAAATATGCATGAGATCACACAACTAGGAATTAATAGAGATAGGTTTGTATTCTAAGTGTGTGCTGCTTCTAACAACCCAGATCTCCTAGCTCCTAAACCAGGGCTTAAGTAAATAATATATTAAAATAATATTTTCTTAAAGATGATTAAAAAAAATATAAAGCCCAGCTCAGCTGGAAATTTTATTCCTTAGATGTTCTGTATATTTTACAATACTAAAGATCTTGAATGGGCATGGTCTTTTCAAATATGTTCTCTCTTCTCTCTCTCTCTCTCGCTCTCTCTCTCCCCATCTCCCTCTCTCTCTTTCTCTCTTGGCTGAAATCACTTATTTCTTTGGCTAGATTAATTCAATTGTTTCCTTTTTGGCAAGACAAAAGTACTTGGAAATACCTAGGGGAAAAAATACAATCTCTGACATCAGGAAAGCCTGGACAGTGCTTATCTGCTTCTAAGCACTCAAGATGATGTAGCTGTGATAAAATGCCTATCAGTCTTCCATAGCTCTATATGTCAAGGAGAAATAGAATTCTGTTTTAAAATATGCCTTACTACCTACATATAGAAGTAGATAAAATTAATATTTATTGTGTACTTAAAATGTTGTGCTCACGTAGGCAGCACATATACTAAAATGTGCCAGGCTCTGTATTACCACTAAACAGTCCTCTTATTTAAGGCTCACAATAAACATGCGATGTAGGTATTAGTATACCCATATTAAAGTTGGGAAAATTAAAATTTAAAGTAACTCTATCAAGCAATACAGCTAGTAAGTGAAGGAGCCTGGGATACAAACTGAGTCTGTGTTACTTTAGAGTCCAGGCTAGGTGCTTAATCCCTCTATTAAACCTATAAAACAAGCATGTCAAACTCCCGGCTCGCAGGCCACATGAGGCCCACAACTAATATTTTTGCGGCCCAGCCAATATAACAGTATGTAAGAAATGTTTTAATAAAAATTTTATAACTTAATTTTTACAATATTTGTTATACATAATTATTAACAATGAACTACAACGTTCGCTAATGACTGATTACTATAATCCTGTTGCATTCATTTCCCTTACTCACCTTACCCACAGGCACACCATTTCTCTCAACTAATACTAACAGTGAATATTTTAGCAGCCTATGGCCACGTCATTCGTCTTGTACTGACTTGCTTGGCATGCACAACAGGAAATTTTTCGCTTTTGGAGAACAAGGAAAATTGGTTTATTTGTGTTATGGTTATTAATTTGTGCAGTTATTCAGTGTCTAATAAGTTAATGTTCATGAAAAATATATTAATTTTGGGAGGGGGCAGAGGCGGAGGCACGGGAGGGGGCCGCTGTAGCCCAGGACCTGCAGACCCTGGGGTATGAGAACTTCCTAGGGGCGGCAGCGCTGAGTCCCTGGTGCCCAGACTTCAGGGCACTGTGCCCCTGGCTGGCGGCTAGCGGCTGAGCTAGTGACTCTGGGCGCCTTGGAGCGGGAGTGAGAAGAGGGCGCGGAGGCACTGAGTGCCGGGCGATAGACCCAGCCCGGAGGAGGAATTCCTGCGACTGCTGCCCCGCCTGCTGGAGGAGCTGCACTGCCCTGACTGTGAGCTCTGCAGCGGAGTCTGAGGGACCGCGCTGCGGGAGCCGGGCGCTGGCCTGCGCCTTCTGCTTCTCAGAGCTGCTGCCTTCCCTGCCCTCAGGATCCCTGCAGCTCCTTCTAAGCTACCCACTAGACGCACCCAGGTGGGAAGCATTGGAGTCCCTGTGCCAAAGCCTGGGCGATCAGTACTGCTGCCGCCATAGCCTCCTCCTAAAGCACCTGGACCTCACGATATCTGCATTCCACTGGAGTGATCGGGCAGAGGCCCAAAGGGAGGCCATGAAGGCAGTGCTGTTCCCAATTCGAGAGACTATGACCCCAGAATCGGATGTCTCCATTGCACACATCCTGGCTGCCCAAGCTGATCTGTCTCGTCTTGTCCCAGCCATGAGCAAGGCTGCCCGCCGAGGGACCAGCTGTGCCATCAACAAGGTGCTTATGGGCAATGTGCCAGACCGAGGTAAAATTTTCTATTAGTTTATGTTAATGATGACTCATTTATTTCAGCCCTTTGTATTCAGCATGTCTCTATCGAAATAAACCTACGTTTCTATGAAAATTGAAGCTTTTGTTTTTTTGTGGCCCACATAAACTTAAACCTTGTTTATTCGGCTCATGTTAGCCTTTGAGTTTGACATGCTTGCTATACAAACTAACCTCTCAGACAAATAGTACCCTTTAGACAGAAAAATAACTGCAAGTGGGTTATTAAAGAGACACCACCACATGATTCAGAATAGGGAGTGGAAGAGAGTATTTTTATTTTAGACGTCTTTGCTTTATCCATGGAGCACAGGGCCAGTAGATGCATCCATTTCTCATACATGAAGTACCCTCTACTACCCTATAGCTATTTCACATTGAGTGGTAGGTGACCTGCATTAGTTTGAGCTCTGAGCAAAGAGAAGGAAATACCATGTTCTCTTTTTTTAAAATTTTTTTATTGATTAAGTTATTCCATATGTGTCCTTAACCCCACATTACCCCCCATCCCCCCACTCATGCCCTCACGCCCATGTTGTCTGTGTCCATTGGTTAGGCCTATATGCTTGCATATAAGTCCTTTGGATGATCTCTCCCACTTACTCCCAACCTCCCCTACCTTCCCTTTGAGGTTTGACGGTCTGATCGATGCTATTCTGTCTCTGGATCTGTTTTTGTTCATCAGTTTATGTTGTTCATTATATTCCATAAATGAGTGAGAACATGTGATATTCATCTTTCACTGACTGGCTTATTTCACTTAGCATAATGCTCTCCAGTTCCATCCATGCTGTTGCAAATGGTAAGAACTCCTTCTTTTTATCGCAGCATAGTATTCCATTGTGTAGATGTACCACAGTTTTTTAATCCCTCATCTGCTGATGGGCAGTTAGGCTGTTTCCAAATCTTAGCTATGGTGAATTGTGCTGCTATGAACATAG